GCAATATTAAATAAATTCACTGCAAAATACATGAAACGTTCTTTAGAATATTATTCTAAATCAGGTACGGTTCCCGCTTTACGGAAACTTGAATCTCCGGAATCTTAATAATTAAAAATGCTTATCGGAATACGAAATAGGTACTATCGCCGAAGAAGCCATATCAACAATTCGCACGGCCGTTGCCTTTGGTATTCAGTCACAACTTTCGAAATTATATGATTCAAATTTGATTTTTGCGAAAAAAGAGAGTATCAAGAGGAGCATTTTGAACGGAGCGGGTCTTGGGATCATATTTTTCTACGTATATGCAACTTATGCTCTAGCATTTTGGTACGGAAGTACACTTATCTTAAGTGGAGTGTTAAGTGCTGGTGATGTAAGTATTACCATTTAAATTTATAAATTTCATAAATTCCGCGAGGACTAATTTATTTTGTGCTGCGCCACAGGTCGTTAACGTATTCTTTGCGGTACTTATAGGGTCTTTCGCACTAGGTTTTGTTTTCAAAATACATCATTAAATGCTCATTCAACTTTTATTTTTTATGCCAGCGTAATAACGATAAAGAATTATAATATTTTTTAGCGAACATTGCACCAGACTTACAAGCGTTCAGCTTCGCTACCGGAGCAGGTAGCAAAATATTCGAAACTATAAACCGAATTCCATCAATAGGTTCGTGATCATTCAGCTTTTATATACAAATTTTAATGAACATTTTAAATTAAGAAATTACCCTTTTTCCAGATATCGCATCTGAATCCGGTGAGAAATTAGAAAACATTAAAGGCCGAATCCAAATAAAGAACATCTCTTTTATTTATCCCGCCCGCCCTGAAATGGTGACATTGAAAAAAGTAACTTTAGATATTGAATCTGGTACCACCGTTGCTCTTGTTGGTTCTTCCGGTTCCGGCAAAAGTAATTATATATATATTAATATTTCATTTAAACCGGTTCAACTTGTCTCACTTCTTTTTTCCTTTTAGGTACGATCGTATCTCTTGTTCTTCGTTTCTATGATCCCGTAGAAGGAGAAGTACAACTGGATGGACATAATATCAAAGACCTAAATCTAATATGGTTGAGAAGACAAATGAGTTTAGTAGGGCAAGAACCTGTGTTATTTAATAACACGATTGCTGAAAATGTGGCTCACGGATTAATTGGCTCAATTTACGAAAACATTGACGAAAATAAGAAACAAATTATGATAGAACAAGCATGTAAAATGGCAAATGCACATGACTTCATTATGAACTTACCAAATAAATATGAAACGAATGTAGGTGAACGAGGATTTTTATTATCTGGAGGTCAGAAACAACGTATTGCGATTGCTAGGGCTATTATAAAAGATCCGAAAATTTTACTATTGGATGAAGCTACAAGTGCATTGGATACTCAAAGTGAGGGAATTGTACAAGATGCTTTGGATAAAGCTTCAGAAAATAGAACTACAATTGTTATAGCTCATCGACTTTCCACTGTTAAAAATGCTACAAAGATTGTTGTGATGAATCAAGGCGTCATAGTAGAAACCGGAACGCATGACGAATTGATGTCTAAAAAAGGAAGTTATTATAAACTAGTTGAGGCTCAGCAAATTCAACAAGCAAAAAGAGTTGAAACAGAAATCGATGCGAAGGGTTCTGAAGTATTACTAACGGCAAACAAAGATGACATCATCCCAGCAGAAGATTACACAGTTGGGCGCGTCATAACAAATAAGAGTTCATCTTCTGCAATATTGGCCAAGCGAAAAAATGATTTAGAGGCTGCAACGAAATTTGATTATGAATTTACTACGAGAGAATTAATACAAAAAATAGCAAAGATCAATTGGCCAGAAATCCCATGGATAACTCTTGGAATATTTGCTTCCATTGTTATGGGAATGTTATATCCAATATTTGCTATTATTTTTTCTAAAATCATACAAAGCTTCTCAAAACCTCCTGATGAATTAAAACACGATGCAAGATTTTGGTCCTTGATGTTTTGTAGGTTGAGAATAAATTTTATTCTACTTGTTTACTTATCTCGTATTACTAATTTACTCATGTATTATTTAATTAAATACCTTGTAGTGGTTATTGCGGTTACGATCTTGACCGCACACCTTGTACAAGGGAGTTCTTTTGGATTCTCCGGTGAAAATCTTACTTTACGAATTCGTTCAATGTCATTTGCAGCGATTCTTCGACAAGATATTAGTTTCTTCGATGATCATCATCATAGTGTAGGAGCTTTAACAAGTTCTTTGTCATTGGATGCAACACATGTAAATGGTCTTGCTGGGGTAACTTTGGGCTCCATTTTACAAGTGTGCGTTACCCTCATATCTGTGATTATCGTAGCTTTGATTTATGGTCAGTGTTTTATATCTTTTGAACCTCAAAAGAATGTATCAGTAATGTTCTAAAAAAATCTTTTTTAATTTTCCTCCCGAATTTAGGTTGGAAACTGACCCTCGTTTGCTTGGTTTGCATTCCTTTATTAGTTGGTTCATCATTGTTACGAACAAAAATGTTAAACGGCTTCCAACAGAAAACCAAAAAATCTTACGAACATTCAAGTCAAATAGCTTGTGAAGGAGCTGGAAATATCAGAACTGTTGCTGCCTTGACACGTGAAGAAAATTTATGGAATTTATATCATGAATTACTAGAAGAACCAATGAGAGAAGGATTTAAAAACGCTTTCTTTGCTAGCATAACATATGCGTTTGCACAGGTAAATTGTTTATTTACACTTCTTTTAAAAATCAGCAAAGAATTTAATTAATTTATTTATTTAATTGATTTATATTCATAGTGCGTTAATTTCTTAACTAATGCTTTGGCCTTTTGGTATGGCAGTAGTTTGGTGAGTTAAATATATTTTCAACTTACTTATGCCTAATATTTATGCTAATATATCTCTGTAATATGTTGAAATAATCCTTTTTTTTTATAAAAGTTCGCAAATGGGGAATACAATTTGGAAAAATTTTTTGTTGGTAAATATAACTTGTAACCTTGCAAACTATTAAAAAAAATATATATATTTATTTAACTTTTCGTTTAAACTTTTTCTTAGTATTTATGGCAATCATTTTCGGATCCATGTCTGCGGGGCGCGTTTTCGCTTTCGCTCCAGACATAATAAGGGGGAAATCTGCGGCCGCAACAATTATTTCTCTGTTAGAAAGAACCCCATCTATTGACATATGGTCTCGTACCGGGCGAAAATTAGAAAAAGTTGAGGGATATGTTAAATTTACAGATGTACACTTTCGATATCCGACAAGACCGCATGTAAGAGTATTAAGAGGGTTAAACATCGAAGTAAAACCGGGTCAATACGCGGCATTGGTTGGACCTTCAGGATGTGGTAAAAGCACAACGATTGGATTAACAGAGAGATTCTATGAAACTACAGGAGGAAAAATTGAAATTGATGGAGTCGATATAACAACAATGAATGTTAATAATTTAAGAGAGCATATTGCGTTAGTAAGTCAAGAACCCTCTTTATATAATATGTCTATTAAGGATAATATATTACTTGGTTGTAAACCAAATCAAAATGCAACACAAGAAGATATTGAACGAATATGTAAAGAATCCAATATTCATGATTTTATTGTTTCATTACCTGAAGGATATAATACATACGTTGGTGGTAAAGGATCGCAATTATCTGGAGGTCAAAAGCAAAGGATTGCGATTGCAAGAGCTTTAATACGTAATCCAAAGATTTTACTATTGGATGAAGCTACTTCAGCATTGGATTCCGAATCCGAAAAAGTAGTACAAAAGGCATTAGATGTTGCGGCCAAGGGGAGAACCACTTTGGCTATTGCACATCGATTGTCTACGATACAACACGCTGACGTTATCTTTGTGATTAAGGATGGTAAAGTTGCGGAACAAGGAACTCATCAAGAGCTTTTAGCCAAAAATGAAATTTATTTCTCCATGGTTCAAGATCAACATTTAGGGGCTAATGAAGAATAATAAATGCAGACTTTTTTTTTTAAAAAAAAAACAAAAAAAAAAACAAAAGGGGTTAATGTTATGTATTTACAAGGTTCAGGGTTATGAACCTTTAATCTTTTATCATTCGATACAATCGTAATCTATTGGTTTTTTTTTGTTTCAGGATTGATACATGAGGCGCAGAAACTGCTTTGAAAGATAATAAAACATAAATAAGTAAATAAAAAAGCATTTTTAGTAAGCCGATTCTTTAATTAAGTTTTAAAAAGTAGTATTATTAATAAGGGATTTTTTTTAATTATTAAGCAATTCTTTGTAATTATATTTTCCCCTTTCATTTAATTATTTATTTAAAATTAAAAACAAACATAAAATTGCTTTTTTTTTTTTATTATTTTTTTTTGAAATGCTAGAAACGTAAATATTATTTTCTCTTGTATTATTGAAAATAAATTACTGGCATGAATGGAAGACCAATAATTTACAGATGCAATTAATGTAGCAATTTCTGCGTGGTAATCTGCACACTAGATTTTTTATTTATCCCGAGATCGGGATCTCGTTTTTTTGCTGCGCTCATCACGTGATTACGGTCTTATAATTCATCTTAATGTCACACCTCGATTTTTCCATCTTCCATAATGCCACTAAAAAAGCACGTGGGTGGAGATCACGCATTGGATGGCGCGATGAAAAAAACAAAAAAAAACAAATATTGCCAAAAAAGGTAATTTTTAACAATAATTAAAAGCATGTATTTAAGCAGATCTCAGGTGTATCAAACTACTTAAACCATAAACGAATACGTACTTTTCATAAATAAATTATACATGTATCATTTTTTTTTTTTTTTTTTTTTTTTGCATCGAACAAATCGAAATACCAAAATTAAATCAAGTAACTCAAAAACAAAAGATCTTTCTGTTGATGACATTTGATTTAGAACATGTCAATCATTTGCTCTAATAGAAAGAGATAAACAAAAAAAAAATTTGAATTTAACTTAATTTGATTCGAAACAGAATCATCGAATTTTAGACGCGCGCGACTATTGATAGTAATAAGTAAGTTAGGGTTACATTTTTAACAAATAGATTAACGTAAAAAGGAGTTTTAAAAAGGCTAAGCCATCCAAATGATTAATAATGATTTACAATGTTATATTATGACTCAGAGAATCGAAGATTTATATAAAACCATAATTTAATAATATGATGGTGTAACAATTTCGCTTTGAGAACTAGTTTATTTTGTTTCAAGAGAACGAATCATACTTTGTTCAAGTGAACTGACATGAGTTTAACCCTGTTCAGTTTTAAAAATAGCTGAAACATGTTTAAAAAGCATCCACATAAGAAATTACACGAAAAACGCCATTTAATCAATCTTTTCCTTGTGAAAATATTTGTCAATTCACTTAAAATGTTAGGCGTAAAGAGTAACGTAAACATCGGCTTTCCATATAAAGTTTCATTATTTTACGAAAAAAAAATCAATGACTTTTTTTTGTTGAAGATGGCGTAGCAGACGCAGTGATTGATCTCAATTAGTACTTATCATTGTACCTGATATTTGTTTATTATTATTCTTCTTAAACAAAGAAATTTTCTCATACTTATTATGGGTGGCTAACCTTTATCTTTTTGTTTTTGTGCTTAACCGAAATATTTCTTCTTTTTTAAGTATGAGATATCAAGGAAAATCGACCATTGTTACTAAAATGAAAGTTTTTTTTTATTTAATTTGTTTTTTTAATTTGTTATTAATTTTGTACGTTTGTTATTTCTGATACACCCGAAGTTTTTTTTGTTCTTTTTCTCATTTTTCATATTGATCAATGGAAAAGAATTTTGGCTGATACTTTGTACAAGTGTGACAACAGATAACACGCACACATTCCAATCTATTTTCTCTGGGAAGGTTTCTATCCTCCTTTATTCCGTTAAGAGAAATACGAATCTAAAGGTACTTGTACAAATAAGGGCAAAAACGTCGAATGTGACCATAAAATCTTTTTTGTTTATATTAAATTAAAACTGGTAGAAATTTTCATTGGAGAGATTTCAAGAAACATTACAGGTTTTTTTTTTTTTTTGATAATGTTATTATAATGTTTTGAATTCTTTTTTATGAAGTGTAACCGTCATCTTTTTTCTCTCGTGTAAAAAACCGGTAGATTTTCAGGATTTTTTTTTTTATGGGAACACGAAATGATCGAACATATGCATAAATTTTTAATATATAAATATAATTTATATTTTCCTTTCCAGTTTTGTTTGTTATACCATAAATCAAATAGTTTCTCAAAAAAGGTATTCTTTTTAAGTTTTATTTACGTTACTATAATTATAATAATTACCAACGCTAAACCCAAATCATGAGAAATTGTTTATATTCCGTATTTTTAAATAAAAAATGCACATACGGAGATTTTCCAAGTCGAATGGTCGTTGCAAAAGTTGAATTTTCCTTTTATGGTGCTTGTATCTATGAGGACGGCCAAACATTTCTCCATTGCCGAATGTTTTTGCATATGATGGATGGTAATTACCTTCCTTCCAAGGTTTTCTTTTCTTTTTTCAACAGCACGAAATATCTATGTAATACGATGTCACAAATAAACCATGATATGCTTCTTATTATATAAATGGATGGATTGGTATCGATCATCCTTAATTTGTACGCTAATACTTATGTGGGAAACTAAGTGAATCATTTTTAATATAATTTGATTTTTTATGCAAAAGCGTGTTTTTAATGGGTTCCTTTTATCTGAATATCACTTTCCATAAATTCATTAGCTTTGAAAATACAATTAGTTCCTTTATTACCCTTTGAATTCAACTTTTTTTTTTGTTCCTCTCATCCAACTGATATACGGATTTAACACAGACCATCCCGTTCTGCAATTGACGCAGCACATCCTTTACAAATATGTAAGTTGATGTGAACGTGTTTTTAAAAATCTTCCATCCAAACTTTTCTTTTCCCTTTCAAAACCTTGTAAATTTTTACTGGTTCTTGAAATTGAAATTTCTATATTTATCTATATATCTGACTCATATTCTTTTAAAATGTTCTTATATGTACAAAAATGATGTGTACCAAAAAAAAAAAAGCGAGAAGATAACAAATAATAGGTAAGTACTCTGATTATATATAGAAATTCTCAATAAATTTGTTTTGTTTCTTTCCTGCTCCATTTTTTATTTTTATTTTTTTTTTAAAAAATTTCTTTTTTAAAAAAAAAATCAATAATAATAATAATATATATACATATTTTTTTCTTTTTCTTTCCTTCATTCTTTTTTATTCTCCCCTTTATTTTAGACTTCTTTTTTCGCTTCTTTAACTCGTTCAATATCATTTAAATCATTTGCGAGTATTTCTCTAAATTTCATTCTCCGTGGTGACGCAATATCCAATTACAGTCGATTTTTTTTTTTTTGAAGCTAGAAAATTAAAAAACGCTTCTCCATATAAAAAAAAAAAAATCGATATCACATCATTTTGCCATTAAAAAAAAAAAAATTGTATTTCTATTGTATAATTATAACATATATTATATAAATTATTTTATTTTATTTTATTTTATTTTATTTTTTTTTTTTACATAGATAATAACCCTTTTTTTGTTTGTATTAGCTGTTAGTGTTTATTTGTTTCTTTTTATACTTATGATTTAATATTAAATAATAATACATACAAACATATAAAAGAACTCTATATACTTTCTCTTTTTTTTTTTCCACCACAATTTATTTTTTTTTCCTTCCATTCTTTCGGGATTTTTAAAAATATCCAACTTTCAACAGAACTTTAGGTATGTCTAACGAAAGAGAAAAACGAGCCAGACTAAGGTACGTTTTATGATTTTCGTATTAACGTCTTAGCTTAAAAAATATATCTTGAAAGTTTTATGTTCATATATATTCGTATGAAAAAAGTTCTACGACCGAAGGATAATATATATCCCCATTTGATTATTTTTTTCGGAAATCGCTAAATTTTTTTTCCGATAAATTCCGTTTTTCGGAATAAATTCACTTATTTAACCGCCTCTCGGATTTTGATTTAAAAAAAAAATTTTTTTTTAATCCAGCCATGCATGTGATCGATGCAGAAAAAGACACGTTAAATGCGATGGAGATTACCCAATCTGTGGTAACTGTAAATCTGTTAACGGTGAATGTAGTTATAGCCATCCTGGAAGTAAACGTGGATATGTCGAAACAATTGATGACAGGTTGAATAAGGTGAGTAACATATTATTAAGGTATTATGATTATGATCTTTTGATTCATTGTTAATCGTACTTTTTTTTATATGAATGTAATCGATTCATTAGATTGAGCAAGTGTTGTCAAAGTATCTTGAGGGGGTAGATACTCAACAACAATATAGTAAATCTTCTGTAACAAAAGACATTAACAATGATCCTGAATTAGATGTACATGATATCGTTAACATGGCAAAATCTTTAAAAATAAAAGAAAGTTCTGAAACTGCACAGATATTATCTGATTCAATGTCCCCGTCGATATTGAAATCAAATACTAGATACGTTACTCCAAAGAAAAAAGAGGTATCAGATATCACATTTCATTCAAACCTTTCGCCTAAAGGTTCTATGGAAGATTTACAAAATTCCTCAAAGGACTCCAAGAAAATTCAATCTTTGGAACCACCACTTCCAAAAGTGTACAGAGGCTCAAAGGAATTACCACCAAAAGATTTATTTGATCATTTGATACAAACGTATTTAAGTTATGGATATTCATCAAGAGGTCCAATTATTCATAAACCTACTTTCATTAAGCAGTTGAGAGATAAAAATAATCAGCCTTCCTTATTGCTTTTAAATGCCATATTTGCGGTTGCTAGTATCTTTTCTGATGATACGAGAACTCGAACTGATCCGGATGACCCAGGGACGGCCGGTGACGTTTTTTGGACCCGTGCTTTATGTATGTTAATATATTCACACGCTTTGTAAATTATATTAATGATCTTTATTTATTAAAATGCATCTTATATCTGCAGCGTTGTTGGATGATTTTATGGACAGGGGACGTCTTTCAACCGTTCAGGTACGATCAAATATGATCTTTTTGGAGGGGATTTTGATTTTTTGAATACACGCTAAATATGATCTTGGAAATTTGTTTAGGCTTTGTTATTCATGATCCAATTCTGTGTTAAATCGGTAAATTCTTTGGAAAAAAATTTTGTTTTTTTAAAAAAAAAAAAAGCTTGCCTTGATGATAATTAAAATCTTTCATTGTTTTATTTTGAATATGTAACAAAAATGTTAGACTCAAAATTCAACTCGAATTTGGATGCTAATAGGAATGACAATGAGAATGAGTACTGATTTGGGTTTAAATCGCGACTGCTCGAAATGGGATATTGGTAAAGTTGAAAAGGCCGTACGGACGAGAGTATTTTGGGCTGCTATGAATGCCGAGGTTTTGGTATGCGCGTCATTTGGGTACGAATTAATATAATGATTTTTATTTTAAACTTCAAATTCGATAGGCAGCTAGATCTGAATTTTTTTTTCCTACTCAACAGCAAACCTTTGCCAGTTTATGATTATAATACTAAATTTCCATATGAGATTGATGATGATGGAGATGAAGCTCAGGATGTGGTGAATTATATGCATTATTCCAAATTAATGAAAATTTATGGAAATGTATTACAGTCAAAATCTTATTTTTCACAACCAGGCGCATTAAGGAATACTTTACCTGCTATCGATGCAGCCTTGAGCTCATGGGTATTAGCATTGCCTCCACATTTACAATACAACCCCGATTATTCTGATCAAAACTCTATATCGGTATTTTGTTCATACTTGAATCAAATGTACAACACGGTAGTAATTTCACTGCATCGACCTTATATAGATTCGGATGAATTTCCAAATTTTAATTCCCGTGATATATGTATTAAAGCTGCAATAAATATCACAAAACTTTCAAATTATATACCGGTTGATTCTCAAGGAATATATCTTACGTTCAGTGCATCTGCATATTGTTTAGTACAAGCAGCGACAATGCACATTTTGAATATTGGAGATCCCGATTATTCTCATATTGGACAAAAATATATGGAACAAACTTTCAAGTCTCTTCGAAAAATTGCCCAGGGAGTAAGATTAGGACACGGCCATTGTGGTGTGGATGATGCTATAAATATGTTGGAATATCTTTATCAGGTGCAGCTTTCCAAAATACAAGATGATTCTGAAGCACAGAATTTTATTCGTCGTATTAACAGAAATAGTGGTGGGGGTAGTGGTGATGGTGGGTCAAATAGGGGTGGTGGAAATGGTGGCGGTGGTAATAATAATGATGATAATGATCATCATCATAATAAAAGTAATAATAAGGGAGGAAATAATAGTGATAAAATTTATAAAGTTAAATCAATACCAACTTCTCCTCCATCATCACATCAACAGGATTCTGCAGATGGTGATTCTATTAAGTCGGCTTCACTTTCCATTATAAAAACTGAAAAATCTCCCATGTTATTGGATCGAACACAACAACAACCGTCTTCGACTTCATTATCCTTAGGACCACGTAAACCTTTAAGTGTCGAAGTACGTAATTTTCAATCAAGTACATTATAATTTTACTGCATTATTCAGAACATTAAATCTAATCTTACCCCTGAACCTCCCTTTTTCCTCGGCAGCATCTTCAGTATCAGCGACAACAGACCCATCAAAACATGCAGGCACACGCTAGAGTTCGGCAGCAACAACAGCAACAACAACAAAATGGTGACTTGGCGACAAATCATCATTTTATGGGGATATCTCCTCCGATGGTTTTGAGTCCTGTTGCATCACTTGCCGAGCCACCGGTTGTTCCATCTTCTGGTTATTATAATACTAATAACTTCAATCCCAATATGATGGAATTCACACAAAATAGTCAAATTTATTTGGGAGAATGGGATGTGGTCGGAGTTGGGAATTCACATCATCAAATCCCAACAACTGGTTCGTCCCCTTCTCCCTCTACAATAAATCATAATCAAACCAGTGCGAATGTATCTGTGCTTGGAAATTCCACATCTCCGAATCATCCAAATTCTCCTCCGGGTTCTAATGGAAATCCCACATCGATTCATCAGGATCAGTCATCTAATTATTTATCTTATCCTATGAATGATGATCAAAATACTTCCAACCTTTTTATAAACGGTAGTCATGCCATGATAAATGGTAACACTGTTCAGGATTTGGGAGCTTTGGGACAAAATAACGTAGATGGAACAAATATTAACATTAACGGAAATAACATTGACAATAATAATTCTCCACATCATCAAATGATGGTGCCACCTCATCCCCATCACCCAATGCTAATTCAACCGGCAAGTCATTCTCAATCATTTTCAAATTCCTCAACATCACATCATGTGTGGGTTCAACAGCAGCAATGGTAACATTTTATAAATGTGACGTTGTTACTTTATATTAACAAGATGTACTTTTTTCTTTTTTT